GAATTTGGGGAGCTCAGGGATTTTCATCTGTCCTGCAGTAACCCTTGACCTTCATCTCTTAGGCTTGAGGAGGGGAGGAGAGGGCCTTAAGGCTGAGATGATCCCTTACCTTAGAGTTATCCCTGCAACATCATCCTGCCTGCTCTGAGACAGGACACGACTCTTTCGCGTGGGTTTATTTTCAGCTTAAAAAAAATATGGGTCTCCCTTCCCTGCCACCTTCTTTAGCTGCCATGCATCACCTCCCAAGTTTGTGCAGAGCCCGCTGTGATGCTGGTGCAAGCCTGCAAATGCTGGTGCTTTCCCTGATCTTCATCCACGGGTGCCGGCAGAGCTCGCAAACTGTGTTCTGAATCAGTTTGGCTTCACATTGCATTATTTCTGGCTTGGCTGAAAGAATTTTATCCAGATTCAGCACTGTCATCTCGTGTCAGACAGAACAGACTGTCCCGCTTTGCTTTGCATCTGGAGGGAGAAGCTTGCAAAGTCATCGCAATGTCCCAGTTTCCTTTGCAATTAAGTTGCAACCATCCTTTCCCTATACTTGATGCAAGGGCTGTAAAAAGACGCCTTTGCTTTGAAAAAAAAAAATACAACTCACAAAAAAAAAAAAAAAAAAAAAAAATGCTTTGAAGAGTTTGAGATGGTGATATTACGAAAGGGGAGTGACAGCGAAGTGTTTTTTGAGGTGGAACTGAGGGAAATGGGGAGAAAGAGCCTCTTGGCCCCTGCCAAAGGGAGCCTGGGGCAGGCTGTGAACTGGTTCCCAGTTTAATTCTTTCCAGGGTTGCCCGCTCTTGAATCACCATTTCAATAAGAGCTCATACATGTGTATAAAAAGGATTTTTATTTTCTGTCAGTATCTTTCTTTTGGAGGCGCACTCAAACCATTTTCCATGTCTTCATTTTTGAAGTCATGAACCTCTCCCCGCTCTCGCAGCAGAGACACTCCTCGTGCCCCAGGAAGCTGCAGGTTCTCAGCCCTGCTCTGCGCACGCAGCACGTCTGCAGCTTGCTGAGCTCATTCTGCTTTCACATCCTCGCAGTAAAAGCTCCTCTTTTTTTTTTCTTTTTTTTTTTTTTTTTTTTTTCGGTCGTTCAGATTTAGCAGCAGAGGTGAAAAGTTTAAACAGTAAAACCAATAAAACCACATTTATGTGACAGATAAATCGTTTTGAGACAGCTTGCCCTGAGCCGTCAGGCTTCCTCCTGCAAGACCTCTCTCCTACGGAGCACGACCCGCGGCAGAGCCCTGCAAGCGCCGGCGATGCCCTGCACCATGTGGCAGCCAGGGGCCAAAGGTGCTGGCCCCAGCTATCCTTGGACCTTCCTCGCCAGCAAGATGGATGTGGGCAAACAGTTGTAAAATACACAGGCTATCTGTCACTGTCAGGAGCCGGCCAGGGGGAGGGTGGCTCTTCCAGTGCTCGGGGAAGGTCCAGTGTGAGGTGGGAGCGCATTTAGGATGGGGCTTATTTAGAATCACAGAATTATTTTGGCTGGAAAAGACCCTTAAGATCCTGGAGTTCAACCGTTAACCCAACGCTGCCAAGGCCACCACTAAACCATGTGGCCAGGCACCACATCTACACGTCTTTTAAATACCCTCAGGGGTGGTGACTCCACCACTTCCCTGGGCAGCCTGGTCCAGTGACTGACAACTGTTTGGGGGAAGAAATTGTTCCTAATATCCAACTTAAACCTCCCCTGGTGCAACTTGAGGCCATTCCCTCGGGGCCTGGCGCTGGGGCCTTGGCTCCAGAGACTCATCCCCCCTCTCTGCCCCCTCCTGGCAGGGAGTTGCAGAGGGCCAGGAGGTCTCCCCTCAGCCTCCTCTTCTCCAGACTGAACCCCCCCAGTTCCCCCAGCCGCTCCCCAGCAGACCTGTGCTCCAGACCCTGCCCCAGCTCCGTTGCCCTTCTCTGGCCACGCTCCAGCACCTCAAGGTCTTTCTTGTTGTGAGGGGCCCAAAACTGTATCCAGTATTTGAGGTGTAGCCTCATCAGTGCTGAATACAGGGCTCAGATCCCCTTCCCTGGCCCTGCTGGCCACACTACTTCTGACACAAGCCAGGCTGCTGTTGGCCTTCCTGCCCCCCTGGGCACACCACCAGCTCATATTCAGCCAACTGTGACCAACATCCCCAAGTCATTGGGGCTTCTCTCAAATGTACCTGTTGCACTCTTGTGATGCACACAGCTGGAGCTACCCAAACAGTGTGATGGATGACGGTAAAATCATAGAATCATGGCATAGTTAGACTTGGAAGGGACCTTAAAGCCCATTCAGTCCCACCCCCCTGCCCTGGGCAGGGCCACCTTCCCCCAGCCCAGGTTGCCCAAAGCCCCATCCAACCTGGTTTTGAGCCCTGCCAGGGAGGGGGCAGCCACAGCTTCTCTGGGCAGCCTGTGCCAGGGCCTCACCCCCCTCACAGGGAACAATTTCTGCCTTAGATCTGATCTAAATCTCCCCTCTGTCAGTTTAACCCCGTTCCCCCTCGTCCTATCCCTCCCCCTGATGACGAGTCCCCCCCCTTTCCTGCAGCCCCTTTCAGCCCTGGGGGGCCGCTCTAAGGTCTCCCCGGAGCCTTCTCTCCTCCAGCTGAACCCCCCAACTCTCCCAGCCTGTCCTCACAGGGGGGCTCCAGCCCCCCGAGCATCTCCGTGGCCTCCTCTGGCCCCGCTCTAGCAGGTCCATGTTAAAACAAGTCCATAAAACAACTTGCCAACTATCCCTTGAGGCCGATGCCAGCGCAGTGGAAGGTGTAGTGGTGCATCTCTCGTGCCGGGGAGCTGCATCTCTTCAGCCCGGCTGATCTGAACTGAGGTGGAGCAGAGCTGAAGTGAAGCTGTGGGGTGGGGATGGCCAGCGAGCCAAGGGCTGTGTGCCATCCCCACGTCACCTGGCCCTGGTGGGAATGGCGAGCGTTAGCTCAAGCTCCTGAGCTGGAGAACAAGGGTTGAGCTGCCTGACATGGTCGTTTGTCCAACTTATGCTTAAAAAACTCCCCATGCTGGATTGGCTGCACTCTTGGAGACATGCATGGGAGGTTTCTCCAAACCCTTTCCTTCCCCATCCTCTGAGCTCCTGCATTGTTCTCTGAGCCTCTGCTGTCCTCCCTGCCTCATTTTTTTAATGCCTCCTGATGCTTTTTATTTCATCTTCTCCTAACTCACTTGTAATCATCCCTTTTTTAAATTTTGGTTCTTCTTTTGTTCCTCTCTCCTGGGGCTTTATTTCCAACCCCCATGAACAGTTTACCTGGCCCCTCGACAGTCTGGCCATGCACTTTCTAAGACAGTAACTCATGCTGCTTTGTTTGTGGTTTGCCAGAGACACGTTCAGCTCCCCAGGGCCACCAGCAAGAGGACTTTGGTGCATTGGGGGGGATCCAATTTAGTCTGTACAACCACGCAACTTCCCCCCAGCAGCTGGCAAAGCCGATAGAAGAGTTTTGGCCCCGCTGTGCTGTATGAAAAGAGCCTGTGAAATCATATTTAAGGTTGTCTCTTGAAGGTGCCCATTGGAAAAAAAAAACTCCTGCCAATGGTGGTCAGCTCGGGTTTGTAGTTAACACAATGGACCCGCCGTACAAAGCCGCGCGGGACCGCGGGCTGGAAAAGCCCTCTTAGGTCCCGGCTAATCCGTCCCCCCCGCCAGCCCGAGGGATTGTTCCCAACAGCTTGTTTTCTTTGCCCTGACCTACATAGTCAAAAAGAATCTTGTTGCACATTTTTGTTTTGTACCGTGAGGTCTCGGCGGAGCTAAATCCCCTTCTTGGCGGGGCGGGATGTGTTGTTAAACAGTGCTGGTGCCTCCAGGAAAACCATGGAGACGCGGGGACAATGAGCCCTCTATGGGCCTCGCTTGGCCACGGGATGGTCCTTCTTCTCCAGGCTTCAGTGGTGGGCGCCGAGAACACGCAGAGGTGGGCGATGGAGACGTCCACGCGCTTGGCAACCTGTCCTGCAGCGGAGTGGTCACAGCGGCTCTCCATGGCAGGAGGTTGGAGGGGGATGGGGGGGAAATGCAGCTGCTCTTAATTAACCTGGGTTAAGTGATGGAGATGAAGGTTGCATCTCATCCATCCTCAGCTGTGCTCTCGTGGGTAGGTGAGGGCCGTCCTCTCAGGAGTGGGAGAAAGATGTGGGAGCTCCCATTGTTCGTGTTGTAAGGAGAATAAGGATGTGAGAGGTGAGGGGGAAGAGGGCATTTAGGAAACCTGGGCTGTCGTTTGCTCATCCCTCACCTGAATCAGCAGGGAGGGATGGGGTGCCGAGGGGTTCTGTTGTGGAGCCGAAGGGCTTCAGCTGCAAGTTTTGGGGGTCTGGAGCAGGGCCCATCACAGACAGATGAATTAACCCCCTTTTTCCATCCCCTGGTGCTGAGGTCGGTGGTGGTTTCTGTAACAAACAGACCTGGGAATCTCAATCTCCTCCTGTAGCTTCACTCACCCGAGACAAACCCCTGAGCGCCTGATGGGTGCCACAGCCGCTCCCCGGGGAGCTCCCGTCATTAGAGGCACTTAGAGAGCACTTGGAAGATGCTGAGATGGAGCAAGCGTGATGAGAAATCCTTGTGGCGCGCTTCAAACGATGCCGGGGGGTTATTTGGGGACAGAAGAAATTTGGGGTGACTTTGACCCCAAAAGTGCCCTCCCGCCGTGGCTGAGGGCATCAGGGCACCTCTGGGGGTGTCAGTCCTCACATCCTCTAACTCACCCCAAAGGTAGAGATAACGTAGCCGGAGTGCACTGTGGCTAAATTAATATAGATACACATAAATTAACATTCAGTATTAATAAATTAATAATTAAATAAGAATGATTTAACGATTGCGCATTAGCAGAACGATATTAAATAAATTAATGAAAACTGTAAACCATTTTTTGTGGTTAACGCCACCTGCCCAGGACCTTTGCCAGCTTTCATATAAACCACCTGCTCTCTCGCCAGCTTTTAAAAAAATCTTATTTCTGTTTGTTTTTTGCTTTGCTGCAGCTCTTAGATCTGTTCATCCAGTGGGACTGGTCGACGTATTTGGCTGACTACGGGCAACCCACGTGCAAGTATCTTCGTGTGAACCCGACGACAGCCCTCATCCTGCTGGAAAAGTGAGTGCGGGTCCCAACACCCGGGATCATTTTCACACACACCCCCCACCCCCCCCATCTCATTTTGGGCAAACGTGTGTGTCAGCAGCTGATCCATCACGCGTGGGGCTGGATGGAGCAGGCTGGGAAGCAGGAGGCTGCTTGTGATCCAGTGGGCGAAGATTTCACCCCTGGGTGGGCAGTGACAGCTCAAACAGGAAAATCCTCTTTTATCCCACTGAGTCCCAGATTTGGTGTCAGACAGCACTGACTTGGCTGAGCCTGTCTTTTTGCTTCGCTCTTAAGCAGAGTTTTCCTTGTCTTGCAGCAGGATTCCACTGTAAAGGTGTATCTCAAGCCCCCCAAATCATTTAAAATTTGCTAACCTGTGGGCATGTGTAACTGCTCCGAGCCTGTCAGTGTTTTAAGAGGCTTTTAGACAATGTCCTTAATACCATGTTTTAACTCTTGGTGAGGCCTGAAGTGGTCAGGCCGTTGGACTAGATAATTATTTTAGGACCCTTTCAGCTGAAAATACTCCTCCTCTCTCCTCTCCTCTCCTCTCCTCTCCTCTCCTCTCCTCTCCTCTCCTCTCCTCTCCTC